AAAAAAAAAAAAAAAAAAAAAAAAAAAAAAAAAAAAAAAAAAAAAAAAAAAAAAAAAAAAAACAGAGGAATTAATGTATGAGAAGGAGGATTAAGTTTAATATATACAGGGAATGTTGAGTGGAGACGATGGTAAATGAATAAGATAAATAAGAAGTAAAAGATGGACGAAATAGAGAAGCGGAACAGAACAGTTAACTGTTTTTAAGGAATGGAAAACAGATGTAATTAAGTTATGGGGATTTCTTAAACTCATCAAAGACCGATTGTTTGGAACAGGACACGGTTGGTGACAGTGTGTTGTATGAAGACTGGTTTTCTAATCTGGGACAACCTCGGGGTTTTTGCGGGATTACAAGTTTGTGTGGTGATCTATGACAGTGGAGTCAGCGGAGGGAATTGCATGCAACATGAAGGCCACATTCCTTCTTTTGCCTGCACAAATTTAACAAACATTGCTCCCACCCATGCAAATTTTAAGTTTACACCATGATATTAGTGTTAAAAAAAACACCTTACTTAATTTGTTTCATAGCCCAACCACCCAAGCATATAGTTAACGGTGGGCTTGAACGGTCACAAATGGTGTCAGGGCTAGAAAGACCAGACATTGGGCTAGGAAACCACCGTTCTCGCTGGCTCTCAAATGGTAGAATGTAAGATCCCACATCGGTTAAAGAAGGGAACCAACATATGAAAATTTCTCACCTACTCAACACATTTTTGTGTGAAATTTAATCATTTTAGTCTCATAATTATTATTTTTTTATAGAGCAAAAATAGAATACGAAGCGAGTAAGTTTATTCCAATATTCTTAGAGTAACCAACAAGAAAGCTGGTTTAAAGTGCAATAGGATTTAGGAACTATACAATAAATTTATCTTTTTGGTCTTTTAAATAATTCTCTTTTTGAAATATCTTTTGGTGCCCAAAATGGGTTTTAATTTGATTATCTTAGAAATATTCATAATACATTTGAAATAAAATTTGTGTTTTTTTAGATACAATATAATTTAAACTTCATATAATTTTTAAACAGCTCTAAAATTATTTATTGCGATGTCCATTGGTTAAATTTTATAAAAATGATATAATATTCAATACTATATTAAATCCCAACTTGAATTTTTCCCCAAGAAAAAGGAGGACAAATACAATTACATTAAGGATGATATATTCATAGAATTTATTTATCACGTTATCAAATAAAAAAAATTGGAATAATATCAATCCTTATTTAGGTCCAAAAATATATATCTTGAAAAAAAACACCTTTTCAAAAAATATATTTTTTTAGCTCTTATAGAATGGAATTAATTAATTCATTCATGTATTAAATAACAAAAAAAAACAATAATTATCTATATAATTAGTTTAATTGGTAGTTAAATCTTAAAAGTATTTATTTTTTGACTGGAAAAATATTAATAAAGCTACATAATTTCAATTTATAGTAATAAAAAAAATCTGGTTACATACGTGTTGGATAATATTTGAAAAAAAGGTTAGGAGTAAGTCAAACACGTTTTATTAAAAGTAGAAATTTTTTAAAAGAATCAAAATAGCTTAAAAAAGAACCTTCTAAAATGCTTATCTTCCTTCCAAGAGCATCTTAGATGGTTAGGTTGTTCTCGATTACTTCGAACCAAAATGGTAATCTATTTATACTGATGATTAGATATCCATCAAACAAACAATCTTATCGGAATGGAATGCAATTTAATTAAATAAACCTTTTTTTTATTATTATTTTTTTAATAATATGTAAAAGCATTTGATATGGAGGAAACAACATTAGCTTTTTCAACGAAGCCTCCAAATTAGTTATGGAATATTTATTTGTTTTGTAATATTCATTTGTTGCTATGAAGGAAGAAAATTTTGATATCAATACTTCCATCTTTAGGAAACGGTTCAATTTTGTTCATTTAAAATACCTTCTGAATCTACCATCATTTACATCAACCTAATTTTCTATTTTTTTTTACAACCTACTTTAGGTTGTTACAATTTAAATACATTTCTCAATCATACAATTAAGTAGAGATGTTCATTTAATCCGCCCGTTCTCAAACGAGATGAAGGATAATAGAGGGAGTACTACAACAGCTTAAGTCTACCGTTAACAAATATGAGTTTGCTTTCCCTTTCGAGCTTCCCCTTAAGGAATAGGTTTCCACACCCTTTTATAAGAAATGTTTCAAGATCCACCTCTCAGGGGCACAATGTCCTCGCTGCCACACCGCTCGTTGTCGGGCTTTGATACCATTTATATCGGATCAAGTCTACCGCTAGTAGATATTGTCGTTTTTTAGCTTTCCTTTTCGGATTTTCTCTCAAAATTTTTAAAACGCGTGTACTAAGTAGAAATTTTCACACCCTTATAAGAAGATGACTAAGAAAGATTTAAAATAAATTTATACCGAGAAAAAGATAGAAATTTTAGAAATATTTGAGTATTTGAGCAGGCATTTCAATTTATATATTTTTAAACATCTAATTTTAGCTTGAATATTTTCAATAAAATTAATATTAGTCTATTTTTATTAAATAAATATCCATTTGTAGTAGAATTTTGGTTCTTATTTTGAAGTGCTGAATCGGGGGAAATGGTTTTCCTTGTCACCAACGGTAAAATAAAAAATAATAATAATAATAATACAAAATTTTAAACTTCTAAAATAAAATTTAAATTGGTAGACGGAGTGGAGGGAAAATATTAGCGAGAATCCAATGTCCGGACAACCCGAAGTCGCTTTGTGCCCGGCCCAATGTTTCCTTTAAACGCCGTTGACTGTATGCTTCCTACAGGCGAGTCGGCGGCCTAAAAATAACTTAACGGTAACAGAAAAACGGCAACTGAATTCAAAAATCCACAGGGCAGCTAATATTTGAATTTCAAATTTGAATCTCACAAACCCGTAACGGCCATTTCCTCTCTTCTTACTCTCCTTATACCTTATCTGTCTCCTTCACTCCTCTTCCTCACTCCCCGAAATTCCGCCATGGCTTCTCTCACTCCCGGAATCCTCTTGAAGCTTCTTCAGGCCATGAATTCCAACACCAGAGTCACTGGCGACCACCGTTCTGCTCTCCTCCAAGTCATCGGCATTGTTCCAGCCCTCGCCGGTTCCGAATTATGGCCCAATCGTGGGTTCTACATCCAGCTCTCTGATTCCCTTAATTCCACTTACGTCTCACTTTCGGATCGTGAAACGGATCTCATCCTCTCGAATCGACTGCATCTCGGCCAGTTCGTTTATGTCGATCGTTTCGAGTTCGACACGCCAGTCCCACGTGTTTGCGGTATTCGTCCGATTGCAGGGCGGCAAGCTTCTGTTGGAAGCCCTGAGCTACTAATTGCGAGGATTTCGGCTTCTAAGCGTGAGTTTGTGATTCAACCGGTGACCGATTCGGATCAATCGGCTGATCCTATTGCTGCGTTGTCATCCAATCAGAAATTGGAGGAGTCTCAAATTAATGAATCCAAGAGTAATTCGAAGACTGGAAATGGTAGAGGGAGGCAAGCCCTAGCTCCTCGAGATAATGTACAGATTGAAAATGTGGGAAGTACTGAAGGGAGCAAGGTTTCTCTTAAGCCTCAGAGGTTTTCTTCCCCTGCGTCAGGAAAAAGATCTATGTCAGCCGGAAAGAAGAATGTGGCGGTGGTTGAGAGAGATCCTTCACCGGCTGGAAAGGGGAAGAGGTCGGCTTCTCCAGTGCCCTCGAAATCTGTAGTCCCGAGTTTGGTAGCTGCACGTGAAGAGAACCGGGTGAGTTCGAAGGAGGCCGCCATTATAGTTCCTTCGAGGTATCGACAGCCATCCCCAAATGGCAGGAGACAAGCTTCTCCTAGTGTACGTAGGGCTTCTCTTTCACCGGCAAGAAGGTTATCAGGGGGTTTGAAGGTCTCCCCTCTTTTGGCAGTTGCAGATTCTTCTAGCAAGAAGAAGATGACTAACATAGCTTCTGGGATTTCTAAGGTTTCTGAGGCACTTGTTGGGTCTGCAAAATCGAATAGGAAGAGCTGGGATGATCAATCAACTGTCTCTTCTACCTCTGATGAACACAGAGAAAGTGGGGTTTCAAAGAACAAGCCAGATCTACAAGCAATTCTTCGGACCCAGGTACAATCATTATACCTCGTTGATAACTAGAACCCTTTCCATTTTTATATGATGTTGTTGTCTTCTCTAGGCTGCCATTTCTAGACGATTGAGTGATGTAAATGATCATAGACCCAAGAGTGACGATGTGCAAAGAAAAGAGAAAAAGAAGTCCTCCAGCCCATCTAAGTGCGAGGCTCCAGATGAGAGAAAATTTTCGGGTCTTGGTATCACTGTTCACGATAAGAAATGGAGTGATGGCAGTGTTCTAGTTGATGCAGCTCCTGCAAATCTTGTTAAACTTGCAAAGGTTCGAATTGAGTTTGTGATTACTAGGGAAAAAAATGTGTAAATTTAGTGTAAAACTTGGACTGAGGTTGTACTTGTTGATGTTATCAGGAGGCTATGCAAAGGAGAGATATTGCTTCTATAGCTGCAGCTGAAGCGTTGGAGGAGGCAATTTCTACTGAATCCATTATAAGGAGCATAAGGTATGCATTACCCACCTTTCCATTTCTTAGTGTTTGATTTGAACTGAATTGTGATTTGAACTTCCGTTTCTTTCCAGCATGTTTTCAGAACTTTCCTCTACGCACAAGACTGGAGACCTTTTGCACGTAGTGGACCAGTTTTTCATGATCTATAACGATGTTGTGAAATCAACGGAGATTGCCGAATCAGTTTTTAGCAGCCGGAATGGCAACAAACCTTGTGCCATTCCAGAGCAATCGAAGCCTGCCTCCCTCTGGGTTGAAGCCGCCTTAGCCACCAACCTCGAGATAGTCTCACTTCTCACCAGCCAAGACAAAGGCTCTCTGCACAAAAGCGGATCAAAAAGACAAACTATGGAGGCCTCTTCAGTTCCCAACTCCTCCAGTGCGGTGGTTCCATGGAGTAGAGGCCATGGAATGAAAGAGACCGTAGAGCTTGCTATGGAGTTGCAGTCTGAGATGAAGCTTTGGTTTCTTAAGTTTGTTGAGGATTCGCTTGATGCAGGTTCAAAGGTGTTCAGAGAAAGCTCTGGAGATGGCGTTAAAACATCGCCTCCAATTCCTAATCGAGGCTCCATTGCATCTGTTTTGTCTCAGTTAAAGCGAGTTAATGACTGGTTGGACCGTGTAGTTTCAAAGCGAGATGATCCTTTGAAAGAAAAGGTGGAAAGGTTAAAACGAAAGATATATGGTTTTGTCATCCAGAATGTTGATTGTTGATTCTTAATTTGTGTCGAAATCATCAACGTGCTTAAGAAGAAGCATGATGTTTCTTAATTTCTCAGTTATCTTTATCTTTAAGCTAAATGGGAAAAGTTCAAATTTTTATTGTATTTCTTGTGCACATTATGTTTTTTCGCATCACGAACAATGTCAGTACCACCTGCAATCCACCAACAGAACTTTAAAATCCGCCTTTT